CACAGGCATCTACAAATATTCAAGAAGACGAACGATGGCCCAACTTCAAAGGTTAGCAATGGGATTTATGGGATGTAGCTCGGTAAATGAATGTAAAAATGTGGCAAGCCACCAACCACTGCCAACAAGCACACGAAACACAAAAATACGAGGAGGAGAATCAGGCAAAGAAACTTCTACGGAAGTGTCACCCGGAAAGTCGATTGGTTGCAAGTTCTGGCTTCGGCTCCAAGCTGCGAGTCAGTCTGTTGCTGAGCATGTATTTATGTAGCGATAAAATTAAATTTATTTTAACGCCAGCCAAATGTGAGCCCACAGACCCACAGCAGTCCCACATCGCCCCGGACAGTGCCATGGGCAGGCCTTGTGGGCGTATCATGTGCTCACATAGTCAAACATTATCGCGAACTTAGTTGCTCGTCGAAAACTTAGATGCCAATGCCTGGCCACGTTTGCCTATCCTCGCTTTGCAGCAGTTGTGGACGGAAATCGCTTAAATTTGCTGCAAAAGATGAGAGAGATTCCACAGGCAGGCAGGCAGGAAAAGCACCTGCGATAAAAGTTTCTGCCCCATTTTCCACTTGCCTCGCTGTGTGAGGCATTATTGCCATGAGTCGGGCCATTGAACGAGCGCATGACTCCGACAGGCCACCGACTGCTGGCCGCGAGACTGTGAGGCTGGCTAACGAAGCCGTAAACAACCAAACAACTGCAGTGCAATGCAGCACCAGGTGAATGTGGCATTAAGGCGGCGTGACTAGTTTAATCAACTCTTGACAACGCAACGACCATGCTCTCATTATCAATAAAATGTGAGATATGATTATGATATGGTAAGTAGTTTAATAAGGAAAAGCTTCCTTTGTGTTCTCGAATTTACTATTTTTCTGTATTATATAAATATTCTGTTTAAACACTATTCTGTTCGATTTAAATAAATAACAAATTTTAAAACAGTTTTTAAGCCTTAAGCTTAGCTTTAGTGTCAATTCATCTCTAGGATTAGTCGTACTGCGACATGCCAAATCGCAAAAAACCAAAGACATAAAAACAAAAAGACATAAAACTATTTTTCTGCAAACATTCTTCATTAATTTACAGAAAATTGCATTGTTTTCATTTTTGTCTGCTGATTTTCAGCATATAGTTGTTGAGCAAATATTATATATAGTTTATGAAGCGTGAAAGTGCTTTAACAAATAAAAAATTCATAGGTTATACACATATGTATAAGCCATATAATATCATCAGGATATGAACTGAGCCATATAGGCTCGACAACATCTATGTAATGAAAACAAAGGTTTGTCATTAGGAATGACAGAATTACTGTCAATTGACAGTCTTAGCTATGAGCTGTAGCGGTTGATTAAGCATATAAATATAAATATATAAATATAATTGTTGTAAAGCATGATAATTGAATGACAGCAGCGCAATAAGCTCGCCCAGCTGGCTTATCGCATATTTATGCGTGCTTATATCACTATTAATTAAAAGTCTTAATATTGTATTATATTGATTTTTCGTGTTTGGATTGATGGGCTTAACGGAAGCGAGTTTCGCTAAATGGTAATTGCCAGCGATAAGCTGATAATATACGACGGCCCGTGCGTGACTTATAAATATGAATGGGATCAATGGGTTCCTGGTAGTACGCCAATGACAGGCGATAAGTCAGCAACGCGGGCCGGCTCCTTCCAGCAGGAGCGGGACCAGCAGAGACGCCACAATCCCGACCAATGCAGCTGGCTAGGCCGCACTCACAAGAACCAGCCGCAGTGGAACGCGCTCGGGGCTGGCTCGCTCATCTTCGTTTCAGGTGGCATGAGCTTGGCCTGGGGAGCCGGCTTTGCAGCGCACTCGATGCATGTGGAGCTGCTTCAACTGACGCTCCACATGCAAGTCTGTTGGTACGGAGCGGCGTTGCTTGGAGCCGTACTGAGCGCGGTGTTGACCCACCGGACACCACAGCGACCCGTTTATGTGAGTATGCCTTGGCCAACTTCTACTCGAAGGCATGAGGCTAATCGAAGTGCGTCTGCCAACAGGTGGCGAGCTCTTGCCTGGTGCTTATCTGTGGCATGCTTTACCTCACGTTGCCAGAGCAACCGAAGGCCATCATTGCCGCCCGCTACTTGGATGGATTAGCCAATGGCCTGGTCTTTGTGCCCACGCTAAGCACAGTGGGTGAGCTGTCTGTTTGTGAGATGCGGGGCATCTTCTCCGCCAGCCTCGAGCAGCTGAGCTACAATTTCGGCATCTTTATCCTGCTCAGCTACACAGCCATCTGGCACAGTGGCTGGAATGTGACCATTGTGGCCGACCAGGTGCACGGCCTGCTGAGCATTGTCTATGGTGTTGTAGCCCTGGCCCTGGCGCTGACCTGCTGCGTCGAGTCTCCGGTGTACTTGCTGCTGCGGCGCAGTGAGCAGGCTGCGGTGGATGCTCTGCGCCATCTGCAACGTCCATTCGTAGTGACGTGCGAGACCTTCCTGCTGCTGGACGAGCACAAGCGCTACGTCGCTGCCAACCGAGACCTGAGTTGGTGGCAAAGTCTGCAGCGGGGTCTCGTGCCCCTGATAAAGATTATCGCCCATCGCTCGCAGTACGCCCTCAGCCTAACCAACGTCGTATGGAGAGCTCTTTATGAAACAGCCGTGGAGCTAACGCCCCACACGCACACTTGGCCCTATGTGGTGTTTGGCACTTTGCGCTGGAGCGGCTCCATCTGTGTTGTCTTCCTGATGGACTCCGGTGGCCGCAAGAAGCCCTCGCTCTTCGGCACCTTCGCTGGCGGCGTGTTCGCCATTGCCTTTGCCAGCCTGCTTGACCGCGTGCCTCGCATGGTCTCTGCTCTGACCATATTGTTCTTCTTTCAATTCTTCGCAGGAGTAGCGCATGCAGCTTCCGCTGTCTATCTGACCGAGGCCTTTCCACTGGCCGTCAAGCCGTACCTTGTGGCGCTCGTCTATATCGCTGAGCTGATGATCAGGATAGGCTGTTGTATGGTGACGCCCACACACGTCGACATATCGATTTACTTTTATGTATTGGGGGGCATGTCCTTGAGTTTTTTCTTACTAGGCATTTTTTGCTTACCCGAGACGAGGCTGACAACTCTGGCAAAGGCGCACTTTAAGATACGAAAGTGGTTCAACGAGGACTTTTGAGCTTTGAGCTAAACGAAATAGACAAACAGACAACAATGATATGACAGAACCTGTTTTCTACTAATAAAACTAAAAGATAATTTTCAATACACAAGAAGAGATTATTATTATTTTTATACCCTGAACCCATTGAAAATGGGAAGTCCGGGTATAATAGTTTTGTGTACAAGTATGTAATGGGCAGAAGGAGGCGTGGCAGACCCCACAAAGTATATGTATTCTGTCCGTCTGTCTGTCCGTCCGTCCGTCTGTTCGTATGTATGAACGCGTCAATTGCAGATACTGATGTTTTGCAAAACATCGATGACTCGCTCAACATAATTAAAATTGGTAATAAGACATCGATGCTCGATGCATCGATGATATTTTACAGCACTAGTGTATGTGCGAATTATCATTGAAATATCAGTTGCTTGAGCAGTCTCGACTAGAGCTCTCTTACTTGTTATAGATTTTACTTTTTGATCAAGTGTATCAATTGTATGTGAACCCCGAATTTACTTTCCAATAATACTCTATATACCATTAGCAAATCTTATTATTATATATACATATATTAACAGACAGATGCCAGCCTAGGAAATTCCATTTCATTAAAGTCGCTTTACGACACTACTCTCCCTTTGCTCATCATAATTATTTGTTTACATAAATTGAAGTCTTGAATAAACTAAAACTCTCGATAATCAATCTCAGAAGGCCGAGAAAATGCTCCAAAAAATAAACCAAACTGGTGGTATCTTGAAATATTTTGTTCATTATTTTTTTTTTTCTTACACTGTCGTTTTAAGCTAATTACAACAAACAATTTTTTTTTTTTTCATAGTTTTGCAACACGGACGGGCGCGATAACAGAAATTCGATCACTTAATATCCTGTGAGGCAGACCTCAAGCCATTGGCTTAGCCGATGCATATTCCCGGCCACCAAAGTGAACGAAGAGATGGTCAAGACGCCAAGCACCGCAATAGACCTGCGAGTACTGAAAAGCCAATTGAATAATGAAGTCAACGTCGGCCCCTGCACCAGCTGTGACGATCTTCAAGGTCAACGACATATTCCAGTCGCTCCCGTTCTCTATACCTATTGCGGTTCCTTGCTTGCCGCTGTTGCCGTTGACCTTGTCACTACTGCTACTGTTGCCACTGTTGCTGCTGCGGCCTATAGCCGGCCTGATGCTGCTGTTCGATATGCTGATTGATGGGTCGCGAAAGCTGTATCTTCTTCCACTGTCGACGGCGTAAGGACAGCATCTCGCGCTTTAGATCGGAAAATAGAGCACCCCCAGCTGCTTCAGGGGGTGCAACTGGCAAACGATCAAGAAGCACAGTAGCATGACGCAGATGGAATAGCCACAGCCGGGGCACCACTCGGCCATGTTGCAGGCCAACTTCAGTTTTCTATAGAGCTCGAGCTATGAGCGAGTAAGATCGTAGCTCTTGGCGGCCATCATTGAGAAGAGCTCATTTTTATATAAAACGGGATTTTTTTTTTCATATAATGACTCAGTCAAAATTGATTGAATGAATCGTTTAGTCGACCAGCAATGTGTTCCGTCAGGTTCTCTTTTAATAAAAGCAGATACGAATTTTTATCAAATTGGACAAATTTGAAGTGCCGCGATTTATACTTGAGCGCGGTTACACAAATGTGGTATTAACTATTTTATATGAACTAATTTATAGGCACTGTTGTCACCAATACACATTTAAGATTCGAATGTGATTCCGGGCCTTGCGGCTTATCAGCACAGCGATAAGCGCATATCAAGTCCCGCGTACCGAATTCGTCAAACGCCTAACAAAAAATACCTGACCGTGGACTTGAGCTTTCAGTTGCCAAATACCAGTGATTCGAAGCAGTTGAGGCTGGTTCATCAATAGCGAAATGAACGATAAATATATGCCACCACAGCCACCACCGTATGGCTTCAGCTCGGCACCACCCGCTGGGTCGCAAAGCTACGCCCCACAAGGTTACCCCCAGCAAGGGTCTCTGCCTCAAGGATACTTACCGCAGGGGTATCCACAACAAGCATATTCCCAACCAGGATATCCTGCGCAGAGTAGCGCACCGCCACCTCCAAGCTTTACAAGCTTTCCGTCACAAAGCTATGGAGCGACGCCTCCACAGAGCTATGAGCCACCGCCGCCACCACACGCCTATGGACCCACTCCACCACAGAACTACGGAGCGAACCCACCACAAATGTCAACCACCATAATAACAGTGCAGCCCAGTGGCTGGTACAACCGAAACAACCGGAACAAGCCTCAGTCCAATGCCGTGGGAGCGGGTATGTACCGCTGAATCATCTGAAATTAGTCATTTTGCCATAAAACTAAGTGCTCAAGATAAGATGTACAGTGCCAATCTGTCTTGCGCTTGGCTAACGTGATTATGGGCTTTTCAGCTACCCATTAACGCCTGCAATGCAATTACTATATATAATTTTCTATATTTTCAGCTGCACTCATCTTCTTTTCGGGGGGCATGAACATTGCTTGGAGCATTGGCTTTCACGGTTTGTATTTTTCTTTTGCTCCTCTGCACACGCGCCTTGCTTGGTTTATAGGCGCCATCATTGGAGCCGTGCTTAGCTGCTTCTTGGCTAACAAGTTACCCAAGAAAATTGTCTTTGTAAGCATACCCGCATCAGGGCCTAAATGATCAAATACAACCTCACATTCTTCTTCTTCAGTGCTTCTGCTCATTTCTTGTGATGATCGGGGGAATCCTTATGGCAGCCACGACTTTCAACATCAAAGCCGTTGAGGCGAGTCTCTATCTGGATGGTATCGCCAATGGATTAGTGTTCGCCCCAGCGTTGGCATTGACCGGCGAGGTCGCAGTGCCCTACATGCGTGGAGTGACGGCTTCGACCATTGAGCATATGTGCTACATGAGTGGCTTCTTCGTTCAGGTCATATATACGACATCGTGGAACTCATCGTCCAGCACCAGCTTCAATGGCGAGAATATGCATGGGGTCCTGTCCACTGTCTTTGGACTGATTGGCCTAATCGTTGCCTGCATGCTGTGCATTGAGTCGCCAGTGATGCTGCTGGCCAATGGAAACGAGCAGCAAGCTCTTGATGCACTGCGCCGCTTGCAGCGCCCCTACACGATGACCACGGAGACTTTCGTGCAGCTGGAGGAGCACAAGCGTTATCTGGCACAAAACGCAGAGCTCTCTACTGGCCAGTGCATTGCCCAGGCCATTCCAGCCTTGCTGCGTCTCTGCTATCTAAGGGCCCTTAATGCCATGAGCCTTTCCGCGTTTGTGCTCTACACCATAATAATGCCTCTGCCGCCTTTATATATATCTCTATTCATACCTACCTGGAAATACGTGGTATACATCGTCTGTCGATGGGTGCCAACCTTCATCACCAGCTTATGCGTGGAGTCTGCGGGCCGCAAGAAACCTACGCTTCTGGGTCTCCTGGGCTGCGGTGGCATGGCCATTGGCATTGCCAAATTAATCATGGACTGGCCCTACGCAGTCTGGGATACCTTATTTGTCCTCGTGTGTATTTTCCAAGCTTTTGCTGGCATTGCATTCTCGGGCACTTCTGCCTATCTGACTGAAGCATTTCCACTTGGCGTCAAGCAGCATTTCATTGCCTTCACCTTCATTGTCGAAATGCTGATCTATATTATCATTTCATCTGTGACCTACAGCCGTACAGGTCATGGGCTTTACTTTTGCATTTTGGCTGGACTTTGCTTGCTTGGCTTTCTGCTCGGTTTCTGGTGTCTGCCAGAGACCCGCCGAACTACGCTACGTGAATCACAGGAAAAATTCAAGGGTTTCCTGAGCAAGGGCTTTTAATGGGCTGTCCATCCGATCAGCAACATCTATCATATTCTCTAATACGAACTTTTACGCTTAAAAATAAAAGCTAATTAATTCAATTATCCCAAATACTTGCTATTATAGTGAAATTATATTTGTATCTTCATATTCATATTCATTTACTGTGAATCAGCATCTACAAATATCGCATCACACAAATGAAACATTGTTTCACCATTCCTATTCACGGAAAAGGCTAATATTTATTGGAGGGTAATCCCCACCCATCAGAGAAAGTGATATGAGGTCATAAAATACGGTCCGTTCCTAGTGGGATTCGACACTTACGAATCGCATGAAAAGGTAATTTTTTATTTAGTATCATTTGATATTAGTACTTATCAACAAAAAAATAGGTATGGACGTCCTGCTGTTAGGCGACAAATATTTACTATTAGAGCCACTGGAGTGGGCTTCTCTTGGCAGAATTGGATCACCAACCTCCAAGCAAATGAGAAAGAAAGTCCGAGCCATTGATTTTCAGCAGCCCTACCCTACCTTAACAGAGGCACGCCGAGCAACGCCTACACACAACAACAACCATCAGCGCCTCGGAGCACCTTCGGCGATTGCTTTGACCAAGCTCAAGTCGAAAGCAGCTTCGATTACCTGAACCATTAATTGTACGAGCGAATTCCCCTAAAAACATTTGACGAGCACTTTGTGGCATTTCTAATCAGTATTTATCTAATCAGCATTGTAATCTATATTGAACTGTTAATGTAGATAAGCTTATTGCGCATGCCTTTTCTGTACATATTTATTAACTAAATATAATTCTCTAATTTGAATAGCATATGGTAAATTTACCACAGTTGGTTACACATTTGAACCAATTGTAGAAAAAGAAAGGAAACAACTAGACTGTTCGTTTCGAGTGTTCATAAATGAATGCTTTATTCGATTCAAAAAGGTTTTGCCTTAGCCTAAGTACATAAAGTTTACATAAAGAGTTCTGTCGCTAAAAGCAGCGGCAGAACGGGAGTATATAGAGTGCCGTATGTATGCGCTTATATGTTTGTGTGTACATGCAGAAAGCAGAGTATAACAAACAATCATGTTAACTTTAGGCCAGTGCACATTTGTCTCTCAGGACATAGCTTAAGCAAATGGTTAACCTAAACACGCTTCATAATTTGGCAACTTGCCTGATCAATATACTCTATATCTGAATAGCTTCTCGAATAGTCATATGTATATGGGCCGAAATTGAAAAGCAGCCAACTATAAGCAGCAGACTATAATTAGATAATTTGCTTACCAAACGCTCTCAATACCAGCAAGACAGCCACGTTCACCTTCTTCTTCCATGAATCAAGAGCAAGGCGCATGCTGCCGCATATGTGCAAGACGTATACGACAAGAGTTTACTTACTTGGTTTCAGCTATTGTCACAAGCAATATATACGTATTTTCGTGCACTTTGATCAGTTGAAAGTGGAACTGATCAATTGCGCAGTAAGCAGCGACTGCGCTTGGGCTGCGCTGCAGTGTGGGCAATAGTATG